TTCTAGTCCCTGTCAGTACTCTTGCTGCAGCATTTTGGATTAGCTGAAGGCTTTTCAGCGAGTTTTTAGAACAACCTGATAATAATGAATAGTAACAGGAGGAGAGAAGCTGCAGAGAGGTGTGTAAGACTGCAACTCTGCTTCCTGGTCCCAACTCTGGATAGTCATATTTTGTCCATATTTCTAGAAATGTGAGCTGCTCCATCCAAAGTGGGATGGATGCCGTCTCTCCTAACAAGGCCAGGTTTTTTCTTTTTTGGACACCACTCAGACAGCCAGCAAATTAAGGAGAACATGTGGCTAAACATGACACTCTTGCCCTGATGGGGAGGGGACCAGAGAAAACTATAGAGTCCAACATTGTTTTGGCAAAGTGACACACCGATTCAATATTGATTTCAGTGACTTCCAATTGGCGTAACCGGGTGTCATTACTGCCGACGTGAATTATGATTTTACTAAATTTACGTTTACCCTTAGCCAGCAGTTTTAAATTTCCTTCAATGTCACCTGCTCTGGCCCCTGGAAGACAATTGACTATGGTTGCCGGTGTCTCTAGCTTCACATGTCTGAGAACAGAATCACCAATTACCAGAGTTTGACCCCCGGCGGGTGTGTCGCCGAGTGGGGAAAAACGGTTAGACACATGAACGGGTTGGTGGTGTACCTGGGGCTTCTGTGTAAGACTGTGATTCCTCCTCACCATCGCCCAGCTGCCCTCTTTCCCCAGCTGCTTGGGGTCTTTTTAATTAAATTGCTATTTAGATAAGCTACTCAAAAACACCACTGTGTGTGGGAGCAGGAAGTGATACTCTACTGCAAAGAGAGCGAACACCAAGTGACAGCGCCAACCGAAGGGTTGGTGTGACCGAATGCCTGATGTTGAATAGCTGAATACACATATTACATTTGTCACTGTTCCTACTGAAACACCACCCAGTTAAACTGTCATTGTGTTGTGAAGTCGACCACATGCCATCGTACAATCACTGAATCTTTTTTCACTGTCATATATTCCATCTTCTTATAAAATCAAAATGAATATAAATATTGCATCTGCATTTGTTATTTTTCCAGTCACTAATGTTTTACTGTAATTGTAAAACATTAGTGACTGGAAAAATACAGGCCATTTGTAATTGTTCCCTTGGTTTTTGTCTTTTCATCTTTCAAACATTTTTTTAAATCTATAAGGTAATTCAGAGGAGAGTAGCAGCAGCGTGGAGTCTGGAACCTCTGGCTATTACTATGAGGGTGTATGGAGAGCACTATATGGCACCACAGTTCGTGAGTTCAAAACTTCCTCAGCCATCACACAGTGTCTGAAAGACAAAGTTGTTCACTTGCATGGAGACTCGACCATCAGGCAGTGGTTTGAATACCTTACCAAAGCAGTACCAGGTAGATACCCCAAAACCTCTTACTGTACAAATTGGATTTTCTTTTACCTTTTCTTTTACCTATTTCTTCTATAATTCTTTCAGATCTCAAGGAGTTTAACCTGCATAGTCAGAAAAAAATTGGACCTCTTATGGCTCTGGACAACGCAAACAACATTTTGGTGACGTACCGCTGCCACGGCCCTCCAATCCGTTTTAGCAAAGTCCCAACCAGTGAGCTGCTCTATATTGCCAACAAGTTGGACAATGTGGTTGGAGGCAGCAACACTGTCATAGTTCTCAGCATCTGGTCACATTTTAGCACTTACCCCATTCAGTTCTACATCCGGCGTTTGCAGAGCATCCGCAGGGCAGTGGTGCGGCTGCTGTCCAGGGCTCCAGACACACTGGTTGTCATTCGGAGCGCAAACCCCAAAGCTTTGATAACGTTGTACGATGCACTCACTGTGAGTGACTGGTACTCGCTGCAGCGGGACAAGGTTCTCAGAGCCATGTTCAAAGGTGTAAATGTCCATTTGGTGGATGCCTGGGAGATGGTCCTGGCCCACCACTTGCCGCATGACCTCCACCCACCACCTCCCATAATTAAGAACATGGTTAATGTTCTCTTGTCCTACATATGTCCGCAAAAAGATGGCTAGATGTATTTATTAGCGAGCCATGCACAAACCAGACTGAGTAAATTAAAAAAAAAATAAATCAGTTTTTAAATAGAACTTGTATGGATATTAATTAATATTATAATTCTTGAATTACAGTGTACTTTAAAGTCATCCATCCAGCAGATTGATACCTGAGATTGAGACACTTTGCTAGTTTGGTTCCAATAAAAATGTAGTTCACTACAATTATCTTTGTAGTGCAATTATTGTTACACTTCACTTTAAAGATTACCTATCCAAGCTCTCACTGCATGCATTTAAATCAAACGTTAAAACATATTATCATTGCTTTCCCTGTCACATATAAGAAATGGCATGTTGTTATTCAAGATAAAACTTGTTATTATTTTATTCCTTTACATATCTGAACCAGTGGCTTGGTACTGTCCCTTTGAAACAGCGAGGAGCCTTTCTTTCCACTTCTGCCATGTAAAGGTTGGCTATAATAGGTGACACCAGGGAGCCCGTGGGACATCCATGTTTTTCTCTATAGAAACTGTTAGAGTGAATTGTTAAATGTTTGTCATTTTTATGTTTACCATTTGTACATTGTTTTAAGGAATTCTTTCTGTCCTCCCCTCCCCAGATTCTCGAGAATCTGGATGGGGGGCAGTAGTGTTTTTATCACAGGCACATCCTTGTGAAGGTCTGTTTGATGTTGGTAAACTTCCTCCCCTTTGTATGGCTTCACTGTGTTATCTAGGGTGAACCATGAGGGTGTGGGGGAGACTACCCTCTTTATGACCAAGGATGTTCCTCCTGCTTTTATGTTATATGACCCTTTGATCAGCAGGAGAACACACACACACACACACACACACA